TCGAAAAACCCAGTGACCGTAATCGGGATCTCCGGCCCCTCATCCAGCGGCAAGACAACCCTAGCCCGCCTCCTGCAGCGGATATTCTCGCATGCCAACGAAAACCTGCAGACCTTTATCATGCACGAGGATGACTTTTACCTCTCTGATGATCGGTCAGTACACACGACTCACCTACCCTCAACGGGAGTTGGGCCTTCAAATTTTCTAGTATGCTAACCAAATCCAGAATCCCATACACGACAACCTCCTCCGGCAAAACGGTCCAAGACTGGGACACCGTCGAGGCAATCGACGTGCCGTTCATGGCAGCGGCGCTGTCCTATGTCCAGCAGCACGGCCGGCTACCGCCGCGCCTGAAGAGCAAGGAGGATCTCAACGAGGAGTCCGATTCGGGTGTCAGCGACGAGACGATTGCCCAGCTGCAGCGCCAAGTTTCAGACAAGCTGCGGCAGATCGGACCGGCCCTGGCGGGAGATGGGGGAAAGCGGACGGTTGTCTTCTTCGAGGGGTTTTTGTTGTTTAGTCCGCCCGAGGCGGAGGTCAGGGAGCATGTGCTGCGGCCGGTGCATGAGCAGATCGATGTGCGTCTGTTTTTGCCGGCGCCATATGATTATGTCAAGGACCGTCGCGAGAGGAGGAGTGGCTATGTGACCATTGGGCCGGCTCCTGTCCCCCCGCTGCCGCACAGGGGATCGTCGGCTTCTGAGGATGTGAAGCAGCATGTTGATTTGGAAGCGGAGGATGACGCCCCGCCGCAGAACTTTTGGACGGATCCCCCGGGCTATGTGGATGATATTGTTTGGCCACGATACGTACGAGATCATGCATGGCTGCTGTTACCTGAAAGCGGTCTTGACAATGATCGGTACCAGAACGCTAGGAACTCTGATACTGACGAGTTGATCAGAATTGTGGGGCAAGGGACGAACGTGAGAACTGATGCCGGTGTCGCTGTCGCTCCTGGGAAAGGGGCATTGCCCATGGTCGATGTATTAAAATGGGCCATAGCGGAGGTGATAAAGCCATTGGAGATGGCCGAACGATGACAACGGTTAATACCTTGGCAACATATTTCATTTCAGAGCTGTAATCATGTGAATATCTAAATGACATCAACCAAATAGGATTTTTCCAGCCTTCAATGTTACCGCCAGCCTGTGGTTCAAGCTCTGCTCTGTCGAAGGAAAGGTCGCCTTCATTCTGCGGGAAGGCTAGAGCTCATCGGCAACGGGCCCCATCCATCCAAGCCAGTAATCAATCCTATCCCTGAGGGAGAAATGAGGTTGATCCTCATAACGGCTGTTACCAGACTTGGCATTCGCCGTTGGCGTGTCCTTGTCTTCCACAACCTTCTCTCGAATGTCACCTGTCTCATTTTGATCCGCATGTCCAGATTCCAGACCATTTAAACCGGCGCCTGCCATATAAGTCTGTTGAATGATCTCAGGCGTGTCGCTCGCAATGGCCCGCTCCGGCGCAAGCTCATTATCCAATAGCTCAGGCCGAGATTCCCGGTCTTCATCGCTTGGAAAAGCTAGTCTGATTAGCTCGCTGTTTGCAACAGTCAAGTTCGTGTCTGTTTCGCTCAAAGTACAGTTCGACACGCTAGGGCAAGGAGGGATCTCAAGATAAGATGTGAGGATCACCCAGATCATCGAGATACAAAGGCTTATAATTAAGCTTTGCATGCAATATGCCATGGAGTCAACCACTACGTTCGTGATCGACGTCTTCGACGTCTGGGTTTTTGCCTCAGGCGGAAATGGTCCGTCGAAGAAATCCTTTCCTGATTGAACAAGATCTTCTTCGCGATCTCCCGAGTTATCTGCGTTGTGCTGCCCCCGGACATCTTCCCGATCGGACTCCACTACCTTTGCGAGTTGGTGTGCTGTTTCCTTGCGATATTCCGCTTCCAGCTCAGTAAATATTTGGCGAAGATTGTTCCTGTTACTCTCACAAGTGGTTGATGACACTGGATAGATCCGTGGTAGCCAGGTTATAGCTTGTTGACCAGGAAGTCTGACCTTCCAAGTCACACCAAACGAATCCAGGTCTTTGGGAGAGCAAATGACCTGGAGGTAAGAAACTCCGACTGGGATTCCTTTGTTTTCCAAGTTGATCATCTGCATCTCCGTCTCCTGAGGCTCAAGCCGGCAATGAAAACGACCGTCAGGGCCGCCATCCAAACGAAGGAAGAAGCAACACTTTTCCGCCCAGAAACAGCGATTATGCAGCCTCAATGAGCACATCGCAATGTAACTTATCATCACATCTGCTGGAATGCCATTTTCATCGTGATCGGCGCTGGCAATGACTTGGTGGTCGGCTCGAATCTCCTGGTCCACGGTGAAGTCCTTGACAATGCCGTAGAATTTCTGGTCGCAGACCCGTAAAGGAACGACAAGGTCTCCGTGGTTGACGAATTCAGCGAAGAAGCAGTTCTCCACAATCTTGTAGCGCTGCAAGTTGGTAGTGCGGAACTCTAAGCCATGGTTCTCAGGGATCTGAAATAGGAAAAATCCACTCTCGCCAGCTCTCATCCTAGGAAGACCAGGAATAACCAGATTACTCCATCCTTTCGACTTGTCTTTCTCAAGAAGGACAGAGACAGTCACGGTGAACTTGAATATTGCTGGCTTTACATTTTCAGGGTTTCGAATGAAGAGGATCCCATCCTTAAAGTCGAGCTTGGGCTCGCTCATGGACAATTGGTAGTCTTCGCAGTCACAGGCTAGGTGATCTTTGGGATCATGCGCCAGAGTTTGGCTCGCATCATCGTGCTCTGGAACTGGGGTTTTAGGTGCCGTCATGTCTCGATGGGATTTATGGCTCAATGTTTCCGGCTCAACATGTTGGTCAATGGTGATTGTCACATCCTCGGGCTCTGCTTGAATACGAAGACCATCTAGGACATCGTGCATGCCAAGGGTTGGCTTAGGGAAGTCCTTGTCAGAGTTAGATCTTGTGCCCTTAGCAACTTCTGCGGCTACCGGTTCGTTCGCTTCAAAAGAGCCTGGAGATGCCTCAGAAGTCGACGTGACGATGAAGCCAGAGTCTCCCCGCTTTCTGCGGAATGTTTCAGTCATAGTTGCCTGGGTTGGTGTGGGAGCATCTTTCTCTTCAGCAGGCTGTTTACTATGCGCAGTGGCTGGTGTATCCTGCAACGCATTTGGCGCTGGAATAGAGACTGTTCCTCTCACCACGTCCTTGTCCAGCCGAGTTACGGGCTTTGGGATCATGCTAAGTGTTCTGGAATGTTTCCTGGGAGAGTTTCGCTCTGAAGACTGAATTGAAGACTGGAGCGTTCCTTTCTTCCCCTCGCTTGCACTTTGAGTTCGCTCATCAGGCTCCGGGGCTGATTTAACACTGCCGACGTCGCTGATGATGCACTTTGCGGACGGTTTCATGCCGGAAGCCTTGGTTCGCTCTGAATCAGACCCAGAATCAGTAAGGGATGCGTCAGATGCGCTCCTCTTCCGGCCTGGGTTCTGCATCTTGATCCAATCGGCACTATCGGCAACGATCAAGCGCAGTCCAGAAGAGAGATCGGGTGGTGAGGAGAAGAGGTGCGACGAGGGCTCAAGTTCCTCGTCGTTGCCGCAGTCTGCAACACCTTCAAGGGAAGAAGACACAGTTGCATCCTGAGAGCTGGTGGGGGATTCTCTCGCGGCGGTAAAAGGATCTCCCTCTGGAGTGCGGGAATTGTAAGAAGTGGTACCGTCGTCAGACTCTGGTGCGGAGAAAGCGAACAATGGGCTTTGAGGCGAACTGTCACTCGACTGGTTGTCTTGGCCCCATTCATTAGATTGGAGGCGGACGGAGAAGGTCTTGATGAGAGATATGTTTGCAGATCTGGTGCTGAGAAGCTGAAGTTGTGTGTTTGGGACGCATCGAACCTGTGTTGACAGAAAGGATGCCAGCGATCAGTACGAAAGTCCATCAACCTGAAAAGGTGCGGGAATCAATATCCAGAGACATCAGCTTACCTCCAGGGAGATTCTAAGGCCTACTGGCTCAAGCTCATCGCCATTCCATGTACCCCGTATCTCCAAACAGCTGAACTCGGGCGACCGCTGAGGCAATGAGCTCACATGGGCCTCGCCCCGTTTTGCTGGAGACGCCATATGCTTTCCGACACACCTATCTGCCTTTTAGTTAGCTATCACAGAGATAAATCCCAGTTCCGATGTGTCTATCGCCGAAAAGGGCAGAGCGATTGAAGGACCGAAGACGGTGACGATGCACTGCGCTGGGAGAAGGTTGCGCAAGCTAAGGTAGTGGTGGAGGAAAAAGGATGATGAAAGTGAATGAGGTGAAAGCCAGGGGAGCAACGACCCAAGACACGCACGCTCTTTGGTCCAGGAAGGGAAGGAACGCTGTGTTTATACTAACCTGAGGCACCTACGCATGACAATCGCTTAGAACAACAACTCTTTATGTTGTCGTTCCATATCTTGTCTTAGGCAGACTTCAAGCTATGCCACCCTTTCATAGGCACTTACTAACAGGATGACTTTATATCCTTCAACGATTATTGTAAGGATTGATAATTCAACAGTTGCCCTGAGTGAGCAGACTCAAATGCTAGCCTCCTCACCGGGACATGCAGGTCCTGATTCGGCACAGCCAATATGTACAAAGAATATTCGAACACCGTCACTCAGACGCGAACAATGGCAGAGAAGGAATAGAAAGAAGCAAAGTGAAAACAATAATCAGAGAAACCCGCCAGCACGGTCACTCCTGCTTTGTCCCATGCGCCATGTATAACCCCGCCAGCCACCGATTCAGTTCCCGTAAAACACCCGCCCATCGGTCTATCCAAAACAGAAACGTGATAAAGATAGAATCAAACATAAAGCAGAAACAAATACAGTCCTCCGAGAAAGGCCCTTGACACCCTGAAAGACTTTTTTTCCCCCGATGGAGTATAAGAGTGGTAAAAAGACATCAGCCGAAGAAAGTGTAAAAGAGCAATCCGTAATCGCGTAGATCCATTATCGGGGTGTCCCATTATGTGAGCCAGGATGCTCAAAGGTTGTCTGACCGGGCGCGGGCGCACCATATCGATCCCCTTCGGTTGAACCCATGGGTTGTGATGGGAGAATAGGAGTTGCACCTTGTGACGCCTGATCAAAGTAACCTCGTGCGGATGCACCGTTAGTCCCTTGTGGAAAATTGCGATTCCGTTGCAAAGGTGGTAAAATTGTAGAACTGGTTTGGTACTGCTGCGATCGCGACTGGGTATATCCTTGCGGCATCATGGCGGCCGTCGAATCTGCAGTCTATTTCGGAAGAACAGAAGATCCTTTAGCTCTCGTCTTTAGGGGTCATTGGCTTGTGAAGGGTCCATACAGGAGTACCAGGCTGGTTCATCATGCCTAGAGATTGCATCGTTGCTTGCTGGCTGGAGCGTGCTTGGGCCGCTGGATCCTGCATCTGGGGCACTTGAGCGGATGGCGGGATCCCATACGAAATCTGCGCATCAATGTAAGCAGGTGTTCGAGCTTGTGCCATATTACCGGGTCCCGGGGATTTCACTGCAACCATGGACTCCACCGGGGAACCGTAAGATGACAGGGCAGCCACGGCAGGCTGTGGTTGACGAACCGCATAATCAGGTACTCCTGCATGTCCCGCAGGATATCCTTGCATCATAGGGGTCTGGTATGTTCCTGGTTGATTCGGATACATGGCGGTGGTTTGTGGATACGCATCCACCTGGCGCATCCGACCTTCGGCGTCATATATGCCTCTGTTCCCGTAGTCCACAGACGTCCGCTGACGTTTGACCGGTGTCCCGTAGTATGCATAATCTCGGCCTGCTGCCGGATAGCCAGTGAAAGCGTTCCCCGACATTTGTATTGAAGACCGGTCTGGGGAGCGAGGCAGTGGCTGCTGGGGATACTCTTCCGGCCGTGGCGGCCGTTTGCTGACGAAAGTCAGCCTTATCTGTTATGGAGCCAATCCGAGGTGCGCATCTCGCTGAGTACTTACAGAGACAGTGTGCGAGGCTCTTTTCTGATCCGTAGTTTGACACCCTGGTCGGCAAATGACCGAGAAAGGAATGTGGACTCTTGCATTCCAGGAAAGGTCTTTGGTGGTGAAACTGCATCCTGTTAGTCTGCACCACTCGCGGAATCAATGGGCGCAAGATTGTCTTACCAGTGAAGCGATCAGAGATGATGGACTTCAGGTAGGTAACCACATCCCTACACGCGGGGAGATCAGCGTTCTGTCATACTTATCAACAAACAATGAAGGAAGGCCGAGATTGCTCACTTTCGCATCTCAAACAAGGTAAACTTCAGTCGGAACTCCCCTTCGATTTTGACCGACAAATCCCCAAATACAAAGAATCCGCCGTCTGCGCCGCGCGAGTCAGCAACGAAGCAGAACCACCTTTTACACAAAAGTAGGCTTACCATTATTATCCACATCCTTCAACCGGTGAAGCGAGGAGACAAGAGTGCCTGCCAAAGCTGTGGCCGGCGGTACGGGAACTGGCTGATCTTCATTGGCATCGTACAGACTGCAGCACATGAAATAATATGGGCTCTGTAGGTAGTGTCTACTCATGAGAATTAGCCCGAGAGTTTCTCCAACAAGCCGAGACAAGCTCCCATTGTGACTTACTGCGCGAGATAGCTCCCTTCCTCTCTTACCCGGAGTTGTACAATCGGCGGTGGATCGACTGGCTTGCGTTCTGAAGAGCAAAATCCCCATGTCAACGTCTGTTTGATCCCCAAGGAGGCTCGACGATAGCTATAAGTAGAGCTTGCAGTCTCCCACGTACCTTTCTCCTTCCCACCGGCCACGCGCGCCCGATTGGGCTGCTGGCGAATGATCAACTCGAAGTCAGAACTGGTGTTGGACAACATTGTCAGTTGGAGACCCTGGACAGCTGAGTAAGAGTCGAGAAGACCATCCCGGTGCGAAGGAAGGTCGGACAAACCTCTGGGATTCGCGGGAAAGAGAGGTGTCTGAGAACGTCGACGCACTCATCAAGGCGAAGGTCTTGTCACAGAAGTACCAGGTAGAGTAGAGCCAGAGGATCCAGGTCGTGGTTGTCCGTCAGAAGAACGCGCAACGAACCACGTACGTATCGTACAGGGTTCACCGAATTCGAGCAAAGATGGATAAATGCACAACGGACGAATATGCGGTTTTACAATACCCAGGGAAAAATGAGATAATAGGCTCGATGGAGATTTCGGCTCTCTCTGGAACCTTGCAGCGGACACTCGTGGTTCGACGGAGCACTAAGGCAGGTAGAATAAGAAAGGACGATCCCTAGTAATAGTAGTACCCAGTGGGGTGAAGGGACAGGTCCAGAGAAGAGGGGAAGAGAGGGGGAGGAATTGTCGTTGGTTAAAGACGGACACGACAGAGTATGATTGATTGATGATTCTAAGTAGTAGTTAGAGAAATGGAACTGGTCCAAGTTCCAAGTACCATGGGTGGAGACGAGCTGTGGGAATTTCAATACCAGCAGCTCTAAGTCCGGAACCGCTTTGAGCCTTGAGAAGCTGAGCAGGGCAGCTACCTTAAAGGTAAGGTAGGTAGGTACCTTAGGTCGTGCGGGTGAGGCAGGTGGGTGTTGTGCGTAAGCTGGCAAGTGGTAGTGTGATGGGTCAATTCCGTCGCTTGCCTCTTTTTTCTTTTTTTCTTTTTTTTTATATTTTAATTTCTTCCCTCTTGTCTTTTTTATTTGATTTTTTGGTCTTTTTTTTCCCCTTCCTTGCGTTGGGTGTGATGGAAAATGGCGGTTTACGAAAACGGCGCCGCAGGGACCCAAGGAACAGTTCGAAGTAAGACTGAGAGGATGGATGGTGTCGTCAGAATGCAAGCGGCAAGAACCAGCCGAGCACGGTTCCAGACAAACCTTAACCTGGGCTTCGAGGAAAGACTGCCGGATTTGCACAGTCCAGCAAAAAATGAGAAAGGAAAAATTATTGAAAAAAAAGAAAAAAAAAAATTGTTGTAAGGTAGCAGTTCAAAAATGAATATTCTCTTGTCTGTTTTCGCTCACGTGACGACGATGTAGATGTCCAGGGATAGGAAAGATGATGGAAAACGAGCGAAGAAAAACGGAAAAGATGAAGATTCGAGACAACCGTTGCCGACCGTATATGCTCGATGCTTGTGATATGGGAGCGAGAACACTCTTTCTGTCCCTCTTCTTGTTTATCTTCCCCTTCGTCTTGGTCGTCGAAGTGCTTGAATAATATGACGATAGAGTATGGTGAAAAAAAAAAATTGGGATGGTCAAAGGATAAAGCAAGAAGGTTATTGGGTGTGGTTCGGGCGGGATCAGAAGACCGCTTCAGCCCAGTGTTGAAAGAACAGAGCTGAACAATGGGTCAAAAGTCGCCTCCCACAGGTCTGAGGGTCTCTTGACACACGGAGATCCAAGCGAAGAAGGTGAAAAAAAAAGAGGAAAATTTTACTCGAGCTTTCAGATAACCAGCTGAACCAGATAATGATAATGTGTTCCGGTGGAGTAGTACCAGGAAAGTAGACCAACGCCGGTCACTTTTTCGGCCGGCAGTCCAGTCGTTCTTGAAGTTTAGGGAGAATCGTTTACCAGTCGGGTCGACACTCGACCACGGTTGAGAAAACGGGCTAAGGCGTGTATCAGTCTTGATCATCCGACAGGAACCGTAGAACATCTGAAGATGATGCGCACATTGGCACGCCTCGAGGGGTAGGAGGATAGAATGCTCGAATGAAACGAAAAGAATAGAGGAGGGAGTGCAACCAGGATCTKAGATTCAGTTCGGAGCACCTGCGCAAGTCTCAAACTTTACCCTCGTCTAGGCCGGATTGATTGGGGCAGTTGATCGAGCTAAAGCATGAAATCCACCGCGTTTGCGGCAAACCATTACTCGCTTCCCCGAACAAAGCCCAACCCACCCTTGTGCGCGGAGATAGAGCCGATTATGCAAGCGATCAGACCCGTTTTCCTCACTATCTAGACGCCGCGCAGGGTCTCCCGGCTCCCTTGCAGACGCCAGAGCCGCAGAGCGTGGGAGCGTTGCTGCCGGTGCGCGCGCCTAAGCATTCCAGACTGAGTCTGGTCGCACAATTCCCATCGCTTATTCGTTCCACCCTAAAGTTTGATCGTCTCTTAGACTCTTGACTGGCAGTTGGGGGGAAATAATCGCCTTCGTAGATCCGTTAATCTCCTTTTCCCTCTTTGATCCCCCCTGGCTCTCCGTCTAGGTTGTTTCCTTCAACGTACTGTCTGAATCAATCAACAATGCACTCATAGTCATAAGAGAAGAACCAAAGGAACAGAACATACCTTAAATCCTCTTGTTCCCCTGATGTCGATCCAATGGGTTCCGTGTTCCAATTGAGCTCGGATCCAAGGGAAGGAGCTCACTTCCAGTAACGAGAAACCCAGGGCACCAAGGCCCACTCGATAACCGTTGAAAATCCCGTCCGATACTAGGAGAGTCGGTTCATTAACAAATAAACAATGACCTTGCTTCTCCGAGTCGCTCAATGGAATTAAGGTATCCTTCTATGTCGCGAGTCTCTCGTCCGTCAGCGCCAGATGATTGTCGGAGGATTCTCTCCTGTCCCTCGAAATGCGCTCCAGGCCACGAGATGCCGAATCACTTTTCTCTTCGCTTACGGCTGAACCAAGTCAGGCCCTCTTCCTTTCACCCCAATGAGCTCCACTGTTCTCAACTCGATCACCGTTAGTCTAGACAAAACACTGGTTGGGCTGCGTCAGGGAAACAGTCTTCATGCAAGGGAATCCTTGCGTGGGGGATAAGGGGCTAATCGGAAATCGGTCAACAAGACTTCTGGTCATATAGAGGGAGTGACGAACAGTTTCACCAGAGATCTGGAGTAGAAAGTGGGAGCGGGGTGCCTTTTTCTCACCGCGCGGTTTGTGCAAGGAGGGTCAGGCCGCAAATGGCCAAAACCCGCATGATCTTACCCTGGGTCCTAGGGATCCAGCTCGGTTGATATATCACATTGGCTTCTCTTGACATGCAGGATGCGATGGTTGCACACAAATCACAGTGCTGAGAGGACAGTTCACCTCCTAGTGCATGCAGCTAAAATTGACGACATCAAGGGGTCAAAAAGTCAATATGATGCAAAACGACAGATCTCTTGATCGACGAACCACCCGAGTGCAGTAGTATGTGGTCAATGTGTGAGATAGATTTTCTGCAGTCGAGATGCTGACCTTACTGAAATAGTGCTGAGCTACGCTGGCCTTCCACAACCCAAGGGTGCAGGTCCTTCATGCACGCTGTGTGTGGAAATCGCAATACCGGTAGTGCGGCTGAGTATTACACCTTTCTCTTTGCCATACAGCGGACGGGGCTTTCTTTAGTCATTTGACCTTCAGAATTCACCTCTCACAAAGTCGATGTGCCAATGTCCCGGACAAATACGGATTCAGCTGCACTCAGCTGCCTTCACCTGCAAAAGTACTTAAAATAGCAGGAATTCCACAATAGCTGCTTCTCGAAATCTTGACCTCTCTGCGCTGGCTCATCACAGTTTGGTCCCTTCATTAGCAGCAAATTCCGGCGCGGGTTGACGACGATGGAATCGATGTGCCACTTTGTGTAAATCCAGGAAACCCAACGTTGACGTGACGATGCGGGCATAGCAGTATTAGTCCAATCTGAACGCAAGCGAGGACGTCGCTATTGGCGACAAACACGCAAGGGCGGCGTGGGCCAATACTTGCATATGTAAAACACCGTGACGAATGAGAATTCGGCGGAGCGTTGAATATTCAACAATATCAAGCCGCTGAACGATGATCTCAATTCCTGGAAATGGTACAAACGCACTCATGACAATATACGACGAGTTCAGAAAGCACAAATGATCCATCAACTGACATTCTGGGCTGGGCAGTTATGACGGGTGACAGTGACCCTCGAGGGTCGGGACGACGGGACGCTGCGGTATAATTAAGTTAAAAGACACAAGGTTATCAAGCACTGACCAATATCCATAGTGCGGTTGGGTGATACCTGGAAACGCTTTCTGGACGCCAATTATTGTTGTGTTCGCAGTTGGTCAAAATCCTACCGTACCCGCGCGAGCCACGTTGCAATGGCGTAACATGCTGCATACGAGCACAGCCATCATTGTTGATTGTTGAACCATGGCGCGTGAGATGTCAATATTTTCTGCCTTTTTTGTTTGGAAAACAGCTCCGGCCAAGGCTTTGCGATCTGCATTGTGGATAGGAGAACACAACGAGGTTTCAGAACTTTTCTTCCTACGCTGTCGGCGGCTGTCACTTCTGAACAAGTTAAGATCGAGACAATAGGGGAGAAGAGAGACGGCGGGAAAAGAAGGGGGAAAAAAGAAAAGAACAGAAAAGAAATAAACAAACTCCGGACTCAAATCGAGCGACGAACGATTTTTTACCTTTTAATTATGCCGGCATCTACTTTTGTCCTACTACATCTTGAAGTGGGGATCAGAAGCTGCAGGATGAACTGTCGCGGACTTCATCGGCGCTCCTGCTGGTCTAGCACAATGGCGCACACACTCGAATTGTCTACCCCCTATTCCACTGGATCTCCGTTTATACTTGTCCCCTGGGCTAGCCATGTGAGTTCCATGTCTTCAACAGAATGAGATTCATGGTCTAGATAGCAGTCGTTGGAGGTCTGGTTGTACCAGGTAAGTATTGCGTTCGCAGCTAACTCGGCGCTTTTTCCACAGAATCCACCAAGTATCCACGGAGGACAATAACAACTATCAGCCTGTTCTGCCTATGTGCTTCTCATCGGTATCAGCAAGAAATGATCTGCAAGGTCAAATTACCCAGCTATATATTTGTTTAACGATACTCCATGAAGGACTTCCTGAACAAAGGGAAGCAGGA